AACTGCCAAACTTTTTCACAGTGGTTGCATCATTTTACATTCCCACCAGCAATGCAGTTTCCACTTTCTCCACATCTTCACAAACATTTCTTTTCTGCTTTTTAGATAATAGCCATCCTAGTGCAGGTGAAGTGGTATCTCATGGTTTTGATCTGCATTTCTCTAGTAACTGGTGATACCCATCCTCTTCCTGTGCTTATTGGTTGTTTGTATATCTTCTTTGGAGAAATGACTATTCCAGTCCTTTGTCCATTTTTTTAAATTGGATTGTTCTGTTGTTGCTGAGTTGTAGGAGTTCTTTGTATAGTTTGGACATTATCACATAGATGATTTGCAGATATTTTCTCCCATTCTGTGAGTTGTCTTTTTACTCTATTGATGGTCTCCTCTGATGCACAAAACTTTAATTTTGATAAAGTCAAATTAGTCATCTTTTTCTGATGTTGTTTCACTGTCATATCAAAAAAAAAATCATTGCCAAACTGTAATATCGTGGAGATTTTCCTGTTTTTTTTTTCTAAGAGTTTTATAGCATTAGGTTTTACATTTGGGTCTTTGATCCATTTTGAGATATTTTTGTATAGCTTTGTGTAAGGATACAGTTTCATTCTTTTGCGTGTGTTTTTTTCCCAGTACCACTTATTAAAAAGACTATCCTTTCCCCATTGAATGGTCTTGGCACCGTTTCAAAAATCAATTAACAGTATATGCAAGGGTTTATTTCTAGGATCTTTATTTAATACACTGGTTTCTATGTTTGTCCTTATGCCAGACAGTCTTGATTACTGTAGCTCTGTAGTAAGTTTTGCAGTTAGGAGGTGTGAGTCCTCCAGCTTTTTTTTTCAAGATTGTTTTGGTTATTGAGGAGCCTTCGGATCCTATGTGAATTTTAAGAAGAGTTTTTTTATTTTTGCAAAAGCATGATAGAGATTGCATTTAGTCTGTAAATCACTTCGTGGAGTATGCCTGTTATAACAATCTTCCAATCCATGAGTATGGGATGTCTTTCCCTTTATTTAGGTCTTTAATTTCTTTGAATGATTGCTTGTAGTTTTTAATATACAAGGCTTTTGCCCCTTTGGTTAAATGTATTCCTATATATTTTCTTTTCTTTGATGTTATTGTAACTAGATTTTCTTTCTTTTTGTTCATTGTGCCTGACTGCATAGAGGTGCAACTGATTTTTGTGTGTTGATTTTGCATCCCGCAGCTTTGCTGAATGCATTATTAGCTCTCACAGTATTTTTTTGTGGAATCTTTAGGATTTTCTTTGTAGAAGATCATGTTGTCTGTGAACACAGATAATTTTACTTCTCCCTTTTCAATTTAAATGCCTTTATTGCTTTTTCTCACCTTATTGCTCTGGCTAGACTTCCAGCACTAAACGGAGTAGAAGTGTCAAGAGTAGGCATCCTTGCCTTGTTCCTGATCTTGGAGGAAAAGTTTTCAGTTTTTCATCATCATGATGTTAACTATGGGTTTTTCATAAATGGCCTTTATCACATTGAGGAAGTATTTTTCTATTCTTAGCTTATTGAGTATATTATCATGAAAAAGTGTTGAATTTTGTCAAATGCTTTTTCTGAATCAATCGAGATGATCATGTGGGTTTTTTCTCCTTTCTTTCTATTGACATGGGGTATTGCATTGATTTGATATCTTTTTAAAAAATAATGTTAACTTCCCCGTGGGCTGGACTCTCAACAGGACCCGATGCTGCCTTTTCATCCACAGAGTGGGGTGAGCTGACTTTGTTGAGAGCCCACCAAGTACCCAACATGCACCTCAAGGTTTCTCATTGGATGAGTCAGCCCATTTCACAGATGGAAACGCTAGGTTTTGTGAAGGCAAAGACTTGCCTGAAGAATGGTAGACCTGAGAGTCCCTACCCAGCCTGTAGCTGCGTATCAGGAGCCTGACTGCCCCCAGAGGCAGTTGTCAGCAGGAGACAGTGGAGCAAGGACTTTGTTTCTGAATTCTTTGGAGTTGGTGTCAGCACTGTTGCCCACCCCCTGCCCCCTGAACCAGGAAGGCAGCAGGGACATGCAGCCCAAGAGAGGTGACGCCAGCTGCCCAAGGACTGTCAGCCTCTCAAACTGCCTGTGCTCCCGGTGCCTGGACCTTCATCAGGGCCCCTTGCTGGAGCTGAACGGTGGGTGTCTGAGCCCAGAATCCGGAGGGGCAGGCCCCTCTGTCCAAGCAGCCCCCTTCTCACCCCACTGGAAGGCTCCCTACAGACACGGAGCTGAGTCCTTTGGTGCCCTGTCAGAGGCCCCAGGGTCCTTTTACAGACAGGGGTCTCCTTCCTGTTCTGATGGTGGGACTGTGCCCTGCTTGCTTAGAATGGGTGGCTCAGATTCTTCCAACTCAGCCAGGGGCAGAGTGCCCCCAGGTTCCTTGTGTTTAGCCTTTTTATGGACTGAGTATTTGCGTTCCCCCAGAATTCATATGCTGAAATCCTAACCTCAGTGAGACAGTATGAGGAGGGGGGACCTTAGGGAAGTGATTAGGTCATGAGGGTGCAGGAATTCCTCATGAATAGGATCCACGCCCTTATAAAAAGAGATCTCAGAGAGCTCCTTCCACCACGTGACGACCCAGGGAGAAGTTGGCCATCTATCAACCAGGAAATGGGCCCTCACGCCACACCAAATCTGCTGGTACCTTGACCTTGGACTTCCAGCCTCCAGAAATGTGCAAATAAGTTTTTGTTTATAAACCACC